ATGTATATGTATATGTATATGTATATGTATATGTATATGTATATGTATATATAATATCCTAATATAGATCATATCAAATCATACGAAGATCATATCAAGCCATATCAATTCATATTGACTCATTATAAACCCAATCTCCATGGGATTTCATTACATGGACCTTCCCCGGTCTCATCTCAAACGACCAGGCCTCGGGGATATCGTCGCAGTTGCCGGACAAGACCTGTCCGGTATTTGTGGAGAATTTACCATGTAAAATACCACGGACACCAGAGAAACATGCCGACTGCCATTGAGATCTCTGATGATTCTGACGAAGTAACAATTTTGAGTTGAAATTTGCCATCCTTGTCCCTGTGACCTGAGCTATTTCGTATCACCATACTCATTTTATTTTTAATCTTTGTACAATACCGAGAGAGATGCGCCGGGTTGCCCTTGTGGGCATGCAGGGCGCAGGACATGAAAGTGAAAGTGACAGTGTTGGAATTCCACCCATTTGTGGGAAAATAGGGGATGGTTTACTATTGCTTTACTCACATGTTAAAGTTATAGACAGTTGCAATCATTGTAGATGTCGGCATAGTAAGCAATATCAGTTGGGGGTAAGACCAGCATAAGCTAATCTGGACAAAAAAAACGCTCAGTCATTTTGGGGGTCCAAAAGTCTATTCACTTATACCCTCTGGTAATTTAACATAGCTATGGAAAATCACCATTTTCAATGGGAAAATCCACTATTAATGGTCATTTTCAATAGCTATTTTGACATAACCAGAGGGTATATTCATGTCATTTCCAGCTTGAGATCAGCCATTGCCAGCTGTCTGGCACCTCCTCGAAGTCATTGATGGTGGTTTCCAAATCCACAAAGGCACCAGGAGTGCCGGTGAAAATCTCCGCGACCTGGACCGTCGCAAACCGACAGTATTGGCTCGTGGCCATGGCGCAAGTTGTACCCTCTGGTTATGTCAACAGTTAGCTATTGAAAAAGACCATAGAAATAGTGGATTTTCCCATTAAACATGGTGATTTTCAATAGCTATGTTAAATTACCAGAGGGTATCCAAAATTATAGGAGCAATCTGAAGCCAACAGCATTTGCTCAAGATGGTTGATGAAGGTCTGTGGTCCTCAACAAGCGAAACATATCCTTAACAAAGATTGGATGATACAGTTGCGTGCGGTTTGCCGTTCGTTCTGATGAAGCCATTCAGATTCCTAAACTCTGAGTCTCAAACGAAGAAAGGCTGCGACAAGAAACGCTGCACCTTCGCTGTGATGGTTGGCGAGTGGCTTCTACAGGCACAGCGGGGCGGGGGTGTGATTCTTTCTTGTGGATGAATGGTGGAAATACCCATCAATCAACTCTCATTTTTTGGTGACATCCCCATTCACACTAAATATATGTGTGTATAACTACATACACACATGTGTATATTATATATATATATGTGCATACATATTATATATATATGTAAAATATGACCTAAGAAACTTCTACGGCAACATCCATTTCTGTCGTTTCAATCCCCATCCCGAATCCGTTTTCGAAGCACATGCCCAGTGACTCGGTGAGGTCCCCAAATCGGAAAATGATGGGATTTGTGTTACGTTTAGTGTGCTAGATCTGTCATGTTTGGCGCTTGATCATGTTTTTTTTTTCTCCGTATATATATATATATTACATATTATAGAGATAGTGCGTACGCACATATACAATCATGTATATATATATTTATTGTTATTATTGTTATTGTTATTATTGTTATTAATATGATTATTAATGTTGTTATCATTGTTATTATTATTGTTATCATTATTCTTATTATTATTGTTACAATTATTGTTATAATAATATTACTGTTATTATTATACAGATGTATATGTGCCATGGTCAAAACATGGTATATGGTTTCTCGTCATCCATCCTGTCTTGGGAGTCCAAACACAATGGCTAAAACAAATTCCCTCCAAAATGGATAGATTACCAAGCCCATTCAGTTTGACTATGGCACATTTACACGTCCGCATCTTGTCCGTCCCATTTCCTGCAAGGTGGTGCCTCCCCAGTCATAAGTTGGTTGACAATCCCCATTAAGTAGAGATATAACGAGATGTAATGTATCATAAACCCTTTAGTTGTTGGAGTTAGAAATCAACTTAGCTAACTATAGGGCACCACCTTGTGCCCAAGCCGGGCCTTGCGGGCACGCGCCACTGTCAGCTTGTCCTCCTCAGACAGCTCGTCCATACCCAGAATGGCGATAATGTCCTGCACGGCGATGGCGTCAGGGTTTAAGCAACAAGAAGAGTGGGTGACCCATTTAGCCATCAAACATGATGACTTTACCAACCAACCATAACCAACCACTGGGATTTTAGTCTTCAACCAATGTGACGCATTATCTTCCAACATGTGGATGAAACTTGGAGTATATATATATAACCATCCCTGCTTGGATGTGCATCCAAGTTAAGCTCCTTGGTTGATAATCATGTCATGTGAAATAACCATAAATAACCCATATATACATATATGTATATTTGGGTATACAGTGCCTCAATTAGATGCGGGTTGTGTCCCTCTTACTAAATGGGATGCACCCCTGCAAGTGATTGGGATTTAACCAACCAAAATTGTGGCTTCACCTGACTCAACCTGCCAACAAAAATGAGATTTAGCTATCAAAAACGGGGACGGCATGTCTGAAAATGGGATGCGGTCTTCCCTTTTCAAACATGATAACTAAATGAACATTCACAGGCAAGAATTGGCATTAACATGGGGGATATCTGGCAAAATTGAGATGCACATCGGAATATATTGAGAAAAACAACACATATAACCAATATGCATATATATATATAATATAACAGTTATTCTCAATGGGAATAAAACACATTGGTGACAGGACGATTGAAAATTGGTCTGTCGATGGCATCCATGGTCTCCTGCAAAGACTTGTAATCCTGCAGAATCTTCTGCGTGCTTCGGGCAATGTCATAATGACCTTGGCAGGCGATACCCGGTACCCGTTGCTGGTGGTTTCAAAATGAATTGGTGATGGTAACTGCACTGCCGCAAATTTATGCAAAATTGACAGTTTGCCATGGAAAATCACCCTTCTTGATAGCGAATTCATTTCTCACTAAATGGGCCATCGCTTCCAGTTCGCAAGCACTTGAGCTAGCAGAGGGTAGTAGCAGACACATCATTGGAAGACCGCCAATGAAAGTTGGATATAACATACGTATATATATATATATACCGACTACCGACCATAATACTATATAAGATCATATACAGGTACTAATTACCATATATATATATACACCATATATAGTTGGATCATATGCCATAATTTGATGCAACTAACAGGTACATCCGAAAAAGGTGCTTCGATCCTCTGTGAGTTACCCCAGGGCATAGATGGGCATAGGCCGCTGAGGAGCAGCATCCCATGTTGGTGAATGGAAAACACAAACACACATATCAAACCCCCGTAGTTTCAAAATGTTTCAAGACTTGGGAACCCCACAATTCACATCAGTTGAACGTCTTTAGTAGGTTTCGCCCCAAAGTTCAGTACCATCTGCAGAACAGGTCTGTATCTGAAAAATAAAGACTCTCCGAAAGTTTTCAGTCCAGTCTTCAAGCGTGCTGGCAAGTCACGCTGTCCCACAATTGATGGGTCAAGCATTCGCGACCTGAGATGGACATTGAAGTAACGAGGGCATCTGGATCTTGGATTCACCAAAATCAACCAAAATCAAAATCAACCAACATTCTGGAAATTGGGTGACTTCTTGGTGACATTCTGCATATCAATGGTGCACCATATCTTGGTTGCCCTGACGTTGAATCCAGAGGATCCACAGCAGGGTAGATGCCCAGCTCGGCAATCTGACGGGACAAGACCTGGCCATTTCCACGATTTCCACCAGCTTTGAGTTTCATGATGGTTTCATCAGGCTACAGATCTGTAGTACTATAGTACTATAGTAATTCAATAATATACAATATTGTTAATAATTACTATGATGGTTCCAAGATCCCGATACTCCAACTCATACTCTCCATGCTGGGAAGGCAGGTCATGACCGGTCCATGAAAGCCGCGTTTCGGAGCTTCCAAGCTGCGGACCGTCGTTGCATCTAAGTGTGCGAACGTGGTGGCCTCAACAATGCGCCATCTGCTGGGGATCGAGTCAAGACCGGGGTACCCGTCACCTGTTATTGGAGCCATAAACATTGGCAATCTTTGGATATTTCAGTGACTGATGGATATAAACGGATACAGTATATCAGTATATCACGAAACAAATGATGGATATTTCGTCGATATTTGTCCGAACAAAAAATAACGCATTTGGGGGGGTTGATGATTTTGACAAAATACATTTTTATGTGTATAATATATCCGTGTCATTCAGAATGAGGGTATCACATAATCTTGCCAAGAATGGTGACTTGACACCCTACTGTAGCCATGAGGAGAGAACCGGCAAATATCGTAAAACATGAGTATATTGGAATATATGTATATATCATTATATATCATTATATGACATTATGTATATATTATTACAATTAATTATATATCAATTTATTATATATAAATATATATCATATATCATCATATATCTATATGACTATACACACCTAGCAACAGGAGGCCGACACAAATAGATGCATCGGACCCAAGCATGGCCAAATTGCTGGTTAAATTTCCGACATTCTATCACACATTCATACAAACACATACTGCAACAGGTACACAAATATACGCAACAGGATAATGAAAGGTTGACTTTCCGCACCGTTGGTTATATAGAAGACTCGAAGTGCTATGCCAGCAGGTGTCGCCGCAAAAAGCCGTCCAGAAAATTTAAGTTGATGAACTTGGCTTTCAAACAGGAAGAACACGACATGCCCTCTTCAAAAATGGCCCCTGCAGGTTTCCAGAAGCACACAGAACAAATTCCTCAAAGTTTTTGCTGGTAAAGGGCTTGGATGCCTGATGTGCAGGGAGGGAAAGTTCTGTGTAGATACCCCTATCAAAATGGCTAAGAATTAGCCTATCAACCTCTCCTGCCCAGAAATCTGATTCTCCGATTCGAAATCGGTAAACCCCGCTTGATACCGATTGCATCCACATCTACGTGCGTATTACAGTATGACTGAAGCTCTCCCTTAACCACTTACCACTCGCCACCAACAGTAACCTTCACCATCAACTGGACTTGTGGGTGGCGGGCTGAAAACAAGTCACAGCCTCACTTCAGCTGCCAATCTTGGTTGTTGAACTCTCAATTTTGGCTGATTAAGTTATATAAAGTAACTGTTGAATCACCCCTTTAGTAAAACCCAGGTTTCACCACCAACCAACATCCACTGAGCATCTGGCAGGTGCTGGATCGGTCAAGTCATCAGCGGGCACGTAGACCGCCTGGCCGAGCCATTTTCGTGGCAAAAAAAATCGTTGGCAAAAATGGAGGAAACATGGAGAAACATGGAGGAACACATGATACACATGGATGACACTGGATAATCCTGGATAAGCAATTGAGAATGGTCCATTGCCAGGTGAGATTACGTAAAGATCATAAAGGGTATGCTTTGAGTTGGTTTGGGTTGCTGTTTTTTCGCAAGCGATACTGGAGCAGATATACTGGTTCCGGCTGTAGATCCTGGAATTGCATGGGAGGCTAATGATCCCAGTCACCCCAAAATTTCAAGGCTAGTCAGTTACTAGTTGTCAGTTCCTATAAGTTCTATAAGTCGACATTTTTTTTGGGTCACCAAAGTTAACTGTAGAAAGTAGATCTCCATTTTTTGGAAAATATTTTAAAATTACCATTTTCTATGCCATTGAAATATATTAACTATATTAACATCACCCATTTCAATGAAAGAACCATATATATATATGTATACAAATCACTCATTTCAATATGTTCCATGGTTCAATATGGATTCATTTCACCATTTTTTCAAAACATCACCACTGAAATACCCTCTGGTAAACTAACATAGACCCGGGCAAGCCGGCGGCGGAAGTTTCCCAAACATAAATGACCTATAGTTCAAAGACACCCTGTCCCGACCGTGTCCTTCCCTCGACACTCCACACCTCACACTGCACACTGCACACTGCACTCTTCGCACTCCAAACTTCAAACTTCACACTCCACACTTCAGACTCCACACTTCTCACTTCTCACTGCTTCCTTCACACTCCAAACCTCACACTTCACACTTCACACTGCACACTTCACAGTCCACACTTCACACTTCACACTTCACAGTCCACACTTCACACTTCACACTTCACAGTCCACACTTCTCACTTCTCACTTCGCACTTCACACTTCACACTTCACACTCCACATTTCACACTTCTCACTTCTCACTGCTTCCTTCACACTCCAAACTTCACACTTCACACTTCACATTTCACACTTCTCACTTCTCACTGCTTCCTTCACACTCCAAACTTCACACTTCACACTTCACACTTCGCACTTCTCACTTCACACTTCTCACTTCTCACTTCTCACTGCTTCCTTCACACTCCAAACTTCTCACTTCTCACTGCTTCCTTCACACTCCAAACTTCACACTTCTCACTTCGCACTTCACACTCCACACTTCACTCACACTTCACACTTCACAGTCCACACTTCACACTTCTCACTGCTTCCTTCACACTCCAAACCTCACACTTCACACTTCGCACTTCACACTGCGCTCTTCGCACTCCACACTGCACAGTCCACACTTCACACTTCTCACTTCACACTTCTCACTTCTCACTGCTTCCTTCACAGTCCAAACTTCACACTTCTCACTTCGCACTTCACACTCCACACTTCACAGTCCACACTTCACACTTCTCACTTCTCACTGCTTCCTTCCCACTCCAAACTTCACACTCCAAACTTCACACTTCTCACTTCGCACTTCACACTTCTCACTGCTTCCTTCACACTCCAAACTTCACACTTCTCACTTCGCACTTCACACTCCACACTTCTCACTTCTCACTGCTGCCTTCACACTCCAAACCTCACACTTCACACTTCACACTCACTCTGCGCACTCCAAACTTAAACTTCACACTCCACACTTCACACTTCTCACTTCCCACTGCTTCCTTCACACTGTACACTTCACACTGCACTCTTCACACTCCACACTTCACACTGCACTCTTCGCACTCCAAACTTCACACTCCACACTTCACAGTCCACACTTCACACTTCTCACTTCTCACTGCTTCCTTCACACTCCAAACTTCACACTTCACACTGCACTCTTCACGCCCCACATTTCACACTACACTCTTCACACTCCACAGTTCATCTCATCTGAGCTCTTCTCACCTTATCCCAGCTCATCTCTTCTCATTTCGTCCCTTCTCATATGTCATCTATTAAGCTTTCATTAATCAATTCCCAGCACTACTACTAATCACTGTCGAACCCTTGATGCACCTACTCCAATACGATTTACGAAGTCCAGTTGCAAAAGACAATAGTATTACGAATGCAGCCACAGCACGAAGCAACCTTGACGCAGCCATTACAATGCGATCTGCAGAGACTGAGTTGCAAAACACAATAGAACTACGCACAACGGCGTCGGAAATTGTAGCTCCAAAACCGGATCTCGACGCCAGAGCGAAAAAAAAGACGATTTTGAAGCACTTTTTAAAAGAATTTTTAAAAAGAATTTTTAAAAAGAAACTCACTGGCGCCAAAATGGAGAAAATCTGCTGACAAATCAATGTCGCAGCCTTCATGCAGCCACTCCAATACGATTTACGAAGTCCAGCTGCAAAAGACAATAGTATTACGCATGCAGCCGTGGCAAGAAGCAACCTTGACGCAGCCATTACAATGCGATCTGCAGAGACTGAGTTGCAAAGCACAATAGAACTACGCGCAACGGCGTCGGAAATTGTAGCTCCAAAACCGGATCTCGACGCCAGAGCGAAAAAAAGACGATTTTGAAGCACTTTTTAAAAGGATTTATTAGAAGGAAAATCACTAGCGCCAAAATGGAGAAAATCTGCTGACAAATCACTGTGGCAGCCTTCATGCAGCCACTCCAATACGATTTACGAAGTCCAGCTGCAAAAGACAATAGGATTACGAATGCAGCCACAGCACGAAGCAACCTTGACGCAGCCATTACAATGCGATCTGCAGAGACTGAGTTGCAAAGCACAATAGAACTACGCACAACGGCGTCGGAAATTGTAGCTCCAAAACCGGATCTCGACGCCAGAGCGAAAAAAAGACGATTTTGAAGCACTTTTTAAAAGAATTTTTAAAAAGAAAATCGCTAGCGCCAAAATGGAGAAAATCTGCCAACAAATCACTTCCGCCGCAGAGGTAGATCATCGAGGTTCGGGGACGGACTTTGTATGGAAAAACATAGGGTTTCCTGCATCTGCTATCTCTCAAAAACGCATTTCGTGCGAGACTTCCTCCAAAACTCCATCGGCAACTCATCCACCAGCACCACTTGCAACCCCATTTACAATGCGGGAACGATCCTACAGTTGCAAATCACAATGGAATTCTGTCGACCACACATGCACGAAAAACAGTTGAAACCCCATTTACAACGCGGAACCGATCCGAGACCGATCCGAGAATATCCGAGCATGATCCGACCACACACGAGACCGTCTCGCACCCGTCGCACCGCAGAGGTAGATCATCGAGGTTCGGGGACGGACTTTGTATGGAAAACATAGAATTTCGTGCATCTGCTATCTCTCAAAAACGCATTTCGTGCGAGACTTCCTCCAAAACTCCATCGGCAACTCCTCCACCAGCACCACTTGCAATCCCATTTACAGTGAGGGAACGATCCTACAGTTGCAAATCACAATGGAATTCTGTCGACCGCACATGCACGAAAAACAGTTGAAACCCCATTTACAATGCGGAACCGATCCGAGCATGATCCGACCATGATCCGAGACCGATCCGACCATGATCCGACCACACACGAGACCGTCTCGCACCCGTCGCACCGCAAAGGTAGATCATCGAGGTTCGGGGACGCACTTTGTATGGAAAAACATAGGGTTTCGTGCATCTGCTATCTCTCAAAAACGCATTTCGTGCGAGACTTCCTCCAAAACTCCATCGGCAATCCCATTTACAGTGAGGGAACGATCCTAGAGTTGCAAATCACAATGGAATTCCATCGGCAACTCATCCACAAGCACCACTGGCAACCCTATTTACAATGCGGGAACGATCCTACAGTTGCAAATCACAATGGAATTCTGTCGACCACACATGCACGAAAAACAGTTGAAACCCCATTTACAATGCGGAACCGATCCGAGACCAATCCGCCCATGATCCGACCACACACGAGACCGTCTCGCAACCGTCGCACCGCAGAGGTAGATCATCGAGGTTCGGGGACGCACTTTGTATGGAAAAACATAGGCTTTCGTGCATCTGCTATCTCTCAAAAACGCATTTCGTGCGAGACTTCCTTCAAAACTCCATCGGCAACTCATCCACCAGCACCACTTGCAACCCCAGTTACAATGCGGGAACGATCCTACAGTTGCAAATCACAATGGAATTCTGTCGACTACACATGCACGAAAAACAGTTGAAACCCCATTTACAATGCGGAACCGATCCGAGACCGATCCGAGACCAATCCGAGGATGATCCGACCACACACGAGACCGTCTCGCACCCGTCGCACCGCAGAGGTAGATCATCGAGGTTCGGGGACAGACTTTGTATGAAAAACATAGGGTTTCCTGCATCTGCTATCTCTCAAAAACGCATTTCGTGCGAGACTTCCTTCAAAACTCCATCGGCAACTCATCCGGCAGCACCACTTGCAATCCCATTTGCATTGCGGGAACAATCAATGCCCTAACTAACTCTTGCTTTAACTAACCTTTTCCCTGACGAACCTTCGACGAACTCTTTCTTCGACGAACTCTTTCTTTGACTAACTGTTTCTTTGACTAACTGTTTCTTTGACTACCTGTTTCTTCGACGAACTCTTTCTTCGACGAACTCTTTCTTTCTTTGACTAACTCTTTCTTTGACTAACTCTTTCTTTGACTAACTGTTTCTTTGACTAACTCTTTCTTTGACTAACTCTTTCTTTGACGAACTCTTTCTTTGACTAACTCTTTCTTTGACTAACTCTTTCTTTGACTAACTCTTTCCCTGACTAACTCTTTCTTTGACTAACTCTTTCTTTGACTAACTCTTTCCCTGACTAACTGTTTCTTTGACTAACTCTTTCTTTGACTAACGGTTTCTTTGCTAACTCTTTCCCTCACTAACTCTTTCTTTGACTAACTCTTTCCCTGACTAACTCTTTCTTTAACTAACTCTTTCCCTGACTAACTGTTTCTTTGACTAACTCTTTCTTTGACTAACTCTTTCCCTGACTAACTGTTTCTTTGACTAACTCTTTCCCTGACTAACTGTTTCTTTGCTAACTCTTTCTTTGACTAACTCTTTCCCTCACTAACTCCTTCTTTGACTAACTCTTTCCCTCACTAACTCTTTCTTTGACTAACTCTTTCCCTGACTAACTGTTTCTTTGACTAACTCTTTCTTTGACTAACTCTTTCTTTGACTAACTCTTTCCTTGACTAACTCTTTCTTTGACTAACTCTTTCCCTGACTAACTGTTTCTTTGACTAACTCTTTGACTAACTCTGACTAACTCTTTTGACTTTTTCTTTGACTAACTCTTTCCCTGACTAACTGTTTCTTTGACTAACTCTTTCTTTGACTAACTCTTTCTTTGACTAACTCTTTCTTTGACATTCTAAAAGTCCGTAACACGGAAGTTTCTCCCACTAAACTTCCTTTGAACATAACTATGGAAAATCACCATTTTTAATGGGAAAATCCACTATAAATGGTCATTTTCAATAGCTTCGTTCAATTACCAGAGGGTATATGAAAAAATCCAGCCATTTTTTGATGACCTGCACCGAGGTGATGGACCCCTTCTGGGTGGTGGTAATGCGCTCCTGACGGCTCGCTGGGAAGGCGCAGCCAGGCTCTGGCTGGAGGGGAGGACGGGCTGGGGATTTCCTCAAGGAACTGGGAATGGGAGATAATGGAGGGGGTTACTACTGGGCTATGGAATTATGTGCGAACTAATAATGGTTAGTAGTGCTTAGTAAATTGATTGGGATTAATGGTGAGTAATTTTAATAATGGTTAGTTTTCACGATGGGGATGACTCGAACTAGGGCTGCCCTATTTTGCCTTGTATTTCAATTAGAACATGTGAAGTTTTGGGCACCCCTGTTTTTGAGACATTCCCAAGTTTGGCCAGAGAGATCACATAGTGGGGAAAATCACCTGAAAAGTTCAGCCATTTTGGGATAGCTGCCCCAATTCTAAGCATTGTGAAAAACATTCCAGTGACGTCGTGACATGAGGTCGGAACATAATTTAACATCCAGTACAGTATATCCCCATCATATCCCTATTCGACCACCATTTTTGCTGGTTGAGTCCCCAAGTCGAATCGCAATTTTGTTGGTTAGATCCTCATTCCTCCCCAGTGACTGCTTGGGCATGCTGACTACGATATGATTCATGGTGCCAGTCCATCATAGCCCCGTTATATGGGGGTGGATCAAAATTTAAGACTTAGGGGACCAGAGAGTTTGGTCTATTTTTAGTATTAGTATTAACCATCCATTCTTGGGGGTACCCAATTTTGACCCATACCCATATCCGATTCAGTATAGAATTCATTGTAATTCCATTGTACCCCCATTAGCAATATAGTATATACATTCCCACTATATCCAAGTTATTCCATTAATTATATCCCCATTGTGTATACATATATATATATATTTATACACAATATATATATATATGGGTGTGTCTTTAAATGGGGTTACACTGCCAAATAGCTGTTTGACCATGGCAAATTATGATGATCGACCAATGGATTTAGCACGGTACCTTCGGTACCCTAGTTTCAGACAAACTCATATGGCTATGGATCAATACCTATTAATACCATTTTTAGGGGGATGAACATCCATAAATCCCAGCGAAATTTTGATGTTCACTAGGTGCCAGGGTTTTGACACACTGCCATATCACTAGTTCCATCATCCATCAACACCCCAGTAGTACCCGATCCTTTCATCCCATCCGGCTCCTGCAGGGACGCCAAATCTGTCGCCAGAGTCGGCTGGTAGCCCACGGCACTGGGAATGCGGCCCAGCAAGGCCGACACCTCCGCCAGCAGGGCGCACATTTTAAGGGCAGATCTGTGGGGATTTCCATATGGTTTTTCTGGGATTTATATAATATATATATATATATGGATATAATATATAAATATAAAATGATATCAAGTACCGAAAAAATCTAGAAAAAAATCACCCCATAGAAATGGCAGATCCACTAAAAGCCCATTGCTTCTGAACTTTTCTGTTTCGATGGGAGTCCCACAGCAAAAACTGAGGACTGTGGTCACCGAAAAGTAGGAGCTAACCACCAATTCGCACCCACAAAAGCGCACAAAAGCGGGGGTTTGCCCCAGCATTTGTAAACTATTTACCTAGACAGTGCAAATGAGATTCAAATGGGAATGTCTACTGACAGCTCAAACTACTAAGACATACTAAGACGATCTAGAATCTAAAACTAAGATAAACTAAGATTAAGATGTCATAATGATGTCATCACAGCATATGCTTTCTTATGCTTTCTTTATCTTTCTTTTGCAGGGACATGCGCACTGAACGCCATTGAATGTCGTGCAAACATAGCTGGGTCAGCGCCAAGTCACCTCTGAACCGGCTTGGGTGAAGCGGAAAATGTTGTCCACGAAAAGCAGCACATCCTGGGGGAAAGTGTCGGGAAAAAACATGAAAAAACGTCGTCTGGGTGATGGTGGTGGTTCCAACCAGAGACTTACACGTACTTACACGTTTCATCACGTTTCAATTTTCCATCATTCTTAAAAGGATGATTCATGATGATTAATGATGACACCAAATTGACTAGTATGTGGTAAACTAGTACGCCATGAAGCTCCAGTTGAGAGGGACAAAAGTCACCAAAAAGGCACTGTTAAGCCTGATACAACAATGACAACATGACAACCCGATGTTCGAAACATAACCTTTTTTATGTTTCATCCCCATTTGATGCTTCATTCTGACTGTTCATGGCGATATGGGCATGAGTCAATTTCTTTGAGAACCTGCGACCCGCGGATTTTGGCAGGCTTTCGTAATGGACCGGTAGATCATTTCTGGATACATACTCAATTCTGATCCAGAACAATAGCGCTTGGCGATGCACAATCCCAGGCACAGCACCCGCCCACCTCTCCTGTCCCTCTTCGTCACGGAAGTATTCCGCCACCGTCAAGCCCGTCAGGGCCACACGAGCACGAGCGCCAGGTGGCTCGTTCATCTGGCCATACACCAGAGCAGCCTCATCAACAGCACATGTCTGCTGTGGGTGTTTGGGGTGGCGATCAGCTAAGAAATCTGTTGCCAATTGGACTAAAGATGGCTCAAGCTTGTACCCAGTAGGCCACAATTCTGGTGGAGGTAAAAGGGACAAAAGAAAAGAACATGAGACCCATCACATGCAGGATACAACTTGCGCCGTTGCCTATTCGTCCAGTTGAGTCTGGCGTGGGGCATTGTCTTTTGCATGCTCCAGGTCAGGCTGAGTGAAGCCCAGTTTTGGGTCTTTTCTCAGGGACAAACAGGGTGAAAAAGTCTGCATGATACCATGTCTTTCCTGGGTATCCGGTGGTACCACTTGGTATCTGTGATAATCTGCTCAGCATGCTCCGCGTTTTAAACACTTAACATTTCTGGGACTTGCCCTTCAGGATCCTCACTTGTCGACTGTGGTGGAGTGACAGCTCGTCTTCGACGTGCCACCATGTCCACCACATAGAGAAATATGGCAACGGCAAAACCAAGGATATGGACACTGATTATTCCAAGCATATTTGACATCTCGATTCTATTTAGGTCCGGCGGTATTGCGAGTGACTCTGTGCATCGCTCCATTGGGGTCAATGCCTTGTTGATCATGTAGCCCAACATTCCATCGAGCTCTAAACGCAAAAACCAAAGGGCGAGCACATCGCGCACAACAACTGTGCACATAGTAATGTCATCAATGCCCACCATCCATCCAGATTGGAATCCCATCAGTGGTTCCCCCACTGTCTTCAGTGTGCACCTAGGATTGAACTCTGCCATTTGCTTTACTTGGTCATACTCAAATTTCCTTGTGATTGCGACATCAGCCTTGCCCTCTTAACAGCACGGAGCACTTCGAGAGTCCTGTCTCTGAAATTACATTTGGGTAGTTTGGAAATTGGGAGAAGAACCAATCCCCGTCTGCCCCAATCGGGTTCAGCACGAAAGTCTTCCCAAGCAAAACCGCTTGTTTGGCGCTTGCAAAGCCAGCCGATTGTTCTGCTTTGATCACCAGGAATGAAGCCAAGTTGGCCGCGTAGGCTGAAAGGATCAACAGCACTGACCACGTCCAGGACGTCACTAAAATCTTCCCTGCCCAAGTCTTCGGTCTAAACCCAGCTGCACCAGTGACGTGCCCGACGGACTTGACGATCGAGATGGGGCCATTCCACAAACGTGAGGGCCCATCTGGGTAGTCGTCAGTGTTCTTGGAAGCTTCCAAACATTGGAACGCGAGGCCTGTCAGAATGGTCAAACCGATGAAACTAATCCAAACTGCAGGGCTGAAGGGGGCAAGGAAGGAAAACACCTCGTTCAGTGCAAAGTTCTTCACTTCTGGTGGAATAGTTATCATCACTAAACCTGCATCAAGGAAACCATATGGGCTGTAGGCTCCAAGACTCATCCTTTCCGGTGTTATAGTCCAGTAGCTATAGGTCACCATGTCGGCAACGGCCATAGTCTCTTGCAGCCAGACTGTCCAGGACTCTACAGCAGTGGTGTTTGGAAAGGTCAACTCATAGGTGAAGCCTGCCCGCCGGGCCAGTTCATCCAGAAGATCGATTTCAAGGCCTTCAAACTTGCCACCGTTCTGACGCAGGAAAGTTGGATTCCACATGCCTGTGGCTATCTGCAGGTGGGCCCCTTTGAGGCCATCCTCCATTGACAGGCTGCCATTGGCAATTTGTTTCTTCCGGTCACACAAATATGTGTGGGACCCCAGCGACCCCTGAACAAGCAGCGTGGCGAACCATTGCTGCAGGCGCCAGCGGTACATTCCTTCACACCAAATGCTGCAGGCATGAAACTGGCGCAAGTTTTATTTGAAAAATCATGAAAGGTCAATGGATGGTCTGACAATCAAAGAAAGCAAGTAAATGTGGCCCAAGCATTTTCAACAGCAGAAAATCTCGCTGAGAGCTGGATTTTGGATGATTTTGGTAAATGTGAGCTGTTTTTCAGACATCCTCCAGATGTTTGGATCTCAGTGATCTCAACCGTCGCAAAGCTGTAACCTTTCTGAGCTTTGGGCTTTCGAGCCAGGTGCTTTGTCTTTCCTGGGTCGCAAAGAATCCGGCTGGTGAACGCAGCCTAATCTGGTGGTTAAACCACCGGTCCCCGAAATATTTTCGTCAAGGGAAGGCGAACGAATCAAAACTATGATGCACACCTAATCACAGGTTCGAACATATATAACTGACATTGAAAACCCGAACACCAAGAACCCAAAAAATGTCTTGTTATGTTCATTTCCAACATTTCATAATGCTATCAGGATAACATCTGGTAAAATTGCTATCTGGGTTATACCCAAGTCCAACACTTTGTCGAGACATGTCGAGACACTTGATGACACCAGAGGCCATCATCTCATGGTAGAGGTCATTTCCTTCTCTGGTACGTTCGCCTCAGTGAAACTGATCTCTAGAGACTCTAGATCAGCAAAAACTGAGGAGAACATGACTGGTTGGTGGTTTCAACCCCTCTGAAAAATATGAGTTCGTCAGTTGGGATTATTATTCCCAATATATGGAAAAATAGAAAATGTTCCAAACCACCAACCAGATGATGTTCTCAAGAAGAACCAAATGACATGTTGCTGGGAAAAACATGTCGGGAGTCGGTTTTGCAGACTCAGAATGTTTGATTGGGGCGTCTCCAGACCGACACAGACTACTCGTCTTTTGCATCAACATTCCTCAAGCTAATGGCATTTTCAAGGACATCAAGGAAATATGACATCAACAATATTGGGATAATATTGGGTTATATCAGTTATATCTATGCCATATTGGGTTATATATGGTTATATCATGTTAACATATATAACCCACATCAGCCATATGGGTTAAATAGCAATGTTAATATAACTGATATATCATATATATAACCCACATATGTTAAATATGCCATATTGGGTTATATATATATAATCATGTTTAATTCATGTTATAATTTAATGTTTGGGTTATATATTCCACATATATCCCAGTTATATATGGTTATATATATATATATGGGTGTGTCTGAAAATAGTGTACCCCTAAACCCAATGGTTTTGCTGATCATTATCCCTATTAAATGGCTATAATTGGGAATATACCCTATTTTCAGACAAACCCATTTGAGTGACAAGAATCTAATGTTTGGGTTATATAAGTTATATATTCCACATATTATATATTCCATATATATATATCCCAGGTATATATGGTTATATATATATATATATCCATGGTTATATCTATAACCCACATCAGCCGTAAAACAGTCGGTTCCCACACCGACCCCAGCGAACACGCTGTAGCCGCCGTGCCTCGGCGATGGCGTTGGAGAGAAACATACGGCGCTGTTATGAAACAAACATGGCCACATACCCTCTGGTGAACTAACATAGCAATGGAAAATCACCATGTTTTATGGGAAAATCCACTATAAATGGCCATTTTCCATTGCTATGTTAGTTCACCAGAGGGTATTAGGAGAAATCATGAGATGATTTGATGGATTTTGATGAAATGGATCATGAAATTTTGGGGATAGCTAATGATAGCTACTCCATTTTTCAGACAAAGCCAATAGGAATTGTCCAAAAAAGGTTGAGTTGTTTAAGCAGGAACAACTGTTGGTGGCTTAAACATCCGAAAAAACATCGAAAGCAGAGACTATAGGGATGTAACTCATAAAGCAGCGAGAATTGGGATTGAGATGGATTGAGCCATCGAACATAATTGCTGGGTTGGTAATTGAGCCATCCCCCAATGGCTAACAGCATTGATCACAAGTCAGTTGGGATCATTATCCCAAGGATGGAAATGGATGGAAATGGTAGAAATCTATCCTAGCAACCTCTTGGAAACTGTGGATCACCATCATCAATGGAACTCCAATGGCGCCAAGAATCTTGAGCGCAATGTTGTGAATCAGCTCCATAATCACCACCTTGGCACAAGCCAAACAGCTATGCCCCTACGGAGGGGCACGGATGTGGACAATGTGAAAGGGTGCAGAATTGTTTTTGGCATTTTTTTTTTTACAGTTTTGGAATTTTTTTTGGGGTTCGTGCCTCTTCAATTTTTCCATGGTTTTCTTCAATTTTTCCATGGTTTTCTTCAATGTTTCCATAGTTTTCTTCAATTGTTCCATGGTTTTCTTCAATTTTCCATGGTTTTCTTCAATTTTCCATTGTTTTCTGCAAGTTTTCCATGGTGTTCTTCAATTTTTCCATTGGTTTCTTCAATTTTTCCCGGGTTTTCTTCAATTTTTCCATGGTTTTCCAATGGTTTTCTGCAAATTTTCCATGGTTTTCTTCAATTTTTCCATAGTGTTTTTCAATTGTTCCATGGTTTTCTTCAATTTTCCATCGTTTTCTGCAAGGTTTCTTTGGTTTTCTTCAATCAATCAATCTATATATATATATATATGTATGTGTGTATGTATGTATGTATGTACGTAGGTAGGTAGGTATGTATGCATGCATGCATGCATGTATGTATATGCAGGGTGTGGTTTAGGGTTTAGGGATACAACATGTAATTAGGTATAATTACATGATTATTTGTTGTTTATGTTGGGATCAAAGTTGTGTATAAAAACAACCACAAATAAGATATATATATATATATGTATACGTCTGTATATCTATAAGTAAATATGTATGTGTATTTAAAATATTATTGAATTTCACGAGGTCTTGGGGTTTTGGGATTTTTACGGTATATTGGGTTTCAAAGTCAAAATGCATCATTTCGAGCAACCTGCGAGCAGAAGGGTCGTGAGGAAAAGTGTTGAATGTTGTGATTTTTGTTGAATCAGTGGTCCACAGGTCCAACTGGCGTTCCAGAGAAACTGAAACAGTCGGAAACAGTCGGAAACAGTCGGGAGCGGCCCGGCGTGACCGTGCCAAAATTGTCAATCCGCCATTTTTTTGCAAAAAAAAACGTTTCGCACAATCCCCTTTTTTTTTTGAAAGTGCAACGGGAAACAGTTGGAAACAGTTGGGGCTCGTACCTTTGACTCGGCAAAAAAAGAGCTATTTAAAACCAGTTTATAAAGAAAATGAACCTTAAATGGTTTTAAATAGCTCGTTTTTTGCCGAGTCAAAGGTACGAGCCCCAACTGTTTCCAACTGTTTCCCGTTGCACTTTCAAAAAAAAAAGGGGATTGCGCGGAACGTTTTTTTTTGCAAAAAAATGGCGGATTGACAATTTTGGCACGATCACGCCGGGCCGCTCCCGACTGTTTCCGACTGTTTCCGACTGTTTCAGTTTCTCTGGAACGCCAGTTGGACCTGTGGACCGCTGATTCAACAAAAATCACAACATTCAACACTTTTCCTCACGACCCTTCTGCTCGCAGGTTGCTCGAAATGATGCATTTTGACTTTGAAACCCAATATACCGTAAAAATCCCAAAACCCCAAGACCTCGTGAAATTCAATATATAATATATATATATACTTATAGTTATATAATTATATAAATATATATACATTGATATGTATATACATATTAATATGTATGTATATATATATATACATTTATATAAGTACATTAATATATAAATATAAGTGTATATATAAATGCAAATATATACATATACATATACATATATATATATGTATACGTGTGTCTATATATATATATATGTCTAGATATATATATAATTTTTAACAAAATATTAATATAGTCGAATCAAACAAGTGTATTGAAAAGTGTGCAAGTTTGAATTTAAATAATTAAAAAAAGCGGGAGGGGGGGATTGGGGGGGAGGGCTGAAGAGGGGCCCTAGCGTCTACTTCAAGATCAGCTAAGGCGTCTTCCCCAATGACAGCACTCTTTTACTCTCAGCCTGTTGCCGGTCAGTGCTTGTCTACAGGGTTACTCTATATACCTCTTTCTTGAGCCTTGAGGGCGCATATAAATGTGCTCAATACTCATGCATGTACCTATGTAGGTATTAGGTCGAAACAAAAACACAGGCACAAATTCAAAAGCAATGAGTAGAGCACTACGCCTTGCCGTACCCAATTGGTATTAAGAGTGTCTTCCTGACTTCTCTACACAATGGCAAATAGCAAAAGAAACCGGAGTTACGCAGTGGCTTCGAATTGAAAAACACGTGAAAGCAGCGAATGTCCTAAGGACATGTCGAAAAAGAACAGCGGATTCGCTAATTTTTCCAGTAGTGACCAATGGTGCTTCGCGCACGGTCTCTCCACAGGCAAAATGCCTCGCTCTACCGGTGAAAGTTCGAATTGAAAAGTTCGGGTTCGCAAGATTCAGAAATTCAGGTCATACGAAAAACAATTGACCAAATCACGAAATAAACGGAAATAGCGGATCTCCAAGGTTGCTCATTCAAGCAAACAATGGACTGAAATCGAAGTTGGTAAATTTTTGAAGTTCGCTCCATTCGGAGTGGTCTGCTCGCCGGATGATTCATGGAGATAAATGTATATAGTATCTCTATTTACAAGAGTCTCTATTTTACATTAAATTGAAGTTCAGACACTTGTGGCATTATCTCTATCTAAAAGAGGATATGCCATCTGTGTGAAATAAGTTGAACGCACAGAAAAACTGTACACGGCTTCTCATGCTGTGTTATCTTCAATTAAAGAAGTGTACACTCACTCATCGCCACTCACTTGATCTCCATGGTCTGGACGCTGAAGAGGAGGATCCACCCCACTCTGTGTTGCCCTGATACGTCGATGCTTGATCTTCATATGCCTTTCTCTTTTTCTCCTTCTGTCTTTCCTTTCTTGAATCAGCA